TTCTTTATTATCTACACACTATGAAGCAGTTGTTAAGTATTAGTACATTTTTAATTCATCATTTATAAACCATTGTTCTTACGTTAATACACATTAGTAAGTCATTTATAAACATAGTTATACATGTTGTATTATTTTAATGACAAACCATTTATATATCAGTTGTTAATGGTTCATAAGATCATTTGGAAAGTTTAAAAAAATTATGACATAGGTTAACTGCCTGTTTTTTGATACTTCCCGGGAAAGAATATAAACAATCTCAGCATAACTCGTAAATCTACCAGTGGCAAAGCCCAAAGGATGCTACTGAGACTACCTGAAAGATGCCCCAGCTAACGTTACTGGGTAAAAGCCTCACCGTTACAGGCCTAGTACCGTTTCTCTAAGACAGATCATCTATCACTACCAGCTCATCAATGATGTGCTTAATGATTGTATTTCATTAAAAAAAAAAACATATATGGTTCATACGATCGTGTAGAACATTTAAGGAAATTATTTAATAAGTATTTTCTCTCTAAAGTAAGGACTATCTAGGCCATACAAAACATTACAAATGAGATTGAAAAAAGTCTCAGTTAGGCCTCTTAAGTCTCAGCTTTATTACGGCCTGGGTTAACACCTCAACACCCTTATAGTGTCGTTTTTGGACGTCTCGGGGGGCAAGTTAGCAACAATAAATTTCAAAATAAAACTAGTGACTAACGTTTTGAAACAGAACTTTACTTGCGTTCCATACGCAACCGAAGAAAAAACTCAATATTGACTTTGTGTTTAACACAGGAAAAAAGTGAAAGGATGGTTTCTGGTCAAGCCGCCCTTCTCAACCATGTCTCCTCCTTACCATAGACGGTAGCCCACTTAAAAAATATGGGCCTTAAAGCAGCTCTGTTTTGACCCTTGGCGCATCCAGTAGTCTCTGCCGTGTGCGCTCACTTTAGACAGGGAAAACCCTTTAGCGCAGACAGAGGAAGAACAGAGAGAAGCGGGCGAAGACGCAGTTGGAAAAACGCGATCACACGGGCCCAGAAGCGGGTCTTAAGTGTAAAGACACCATCACTCGGAATTTTTGAATGCCGTCATTTGCCGAAGGAGTTTTCCCCCCTGGAAACTCCGGTGACTAAAGTTTTTAACCTTTAGGGAAGAGCTATTAAAAGTGCAGCGTGATGCAGCTTAAATGGGTTAAAACCATATTACTGTAAGTTAAAGCAGTCGGAGGATGTTGTGAACACGATGTCGTGAACTGTTTTTATTTATTTATAGTATTTTGTGGTGTCGTGGTTTCAGACTAATCTCTGGAGGTACTTTTGGATGTGTAAGCACATGTAGTACCTTCAGAGGTATTTTTATTTACAGTATTTATGATAATACATGTTAAAGATAATTTCCTTGACTAAAATGTGTAAACTCTGTTCAGTATTTTTTGGTTTTAATTTAATGTAATATAATGTAAAGATATGGAGAAATTTAATTAATTCATAGTAAAGTTGGTGATGTCTTGCTTAAATGCTACCTGGTAAAGTTATAAATCTTTGGTAACGTTATAACAATGTAAAACTTAAGAAGAGTCCCTAGACAACAGGGTGATGATATTGAGTTTTGACAAACGGGATGAGATCTTATTTGAAGAACATTGACTGTGATGATTTATCTGATTTATTCTGCACTATACGTGCAGACTGGTTTTTGAGACCCCGGATTGTAGCTTAGAGGTCAACTCTTCGCTGGATGCAGATGGCGAGCGAGTCCCAGAGATGATGCACCCAGCTGCTTCAGATCCCATTCAACAGGACTGACACATCAGATTACAGGACAGTGGCAGATAAGAAAGATCCACCACACGTTCATTATCCTGCCCAGGTAGAGGTACAAATAACTGAAAGACACTGGACACTTTTTAAAATTGTATTTTTTATGAAAGAGCTCTTCTTATTCTGGGGATTGTTTCAAACATGGTTGGTGCACTATGAGAGTGTTAAAGTCTCTGTAATAAACCTACCCACTGTTCTTTAATCCCCAACACTACTCCTCTGAACCTAGGTTGGTAAGTTAGCTAAAGTGCTACACTAGTGTTAAATATTCTAGACCTTTCTTTAGCATTCAAAAACTATGCCACAGGGCTTTCCCCAGTACGCTGAACTATGATGCTAAGGGGCTCCCAAGTGTGTTATAGAGTGACAACAAGGGGTCTTGACCATTGGTCCATATGTGACGACTTGGGATTGAGAACGGTTTGGGTTGTAGATTGTTAATTTTATATCAACAGTTGTACAGTTTATGCAGCAATAGTCTCTCGTGTTGTTGTGTTTTTTTGTGAATGAATGGGTGAAAGGCATTATGTAATAAATAATATGTTCTGGATCCCTTTGTGTTGTGTCATTTCCTTTTTCTGTTCAGAAGAAAACTGATTCTTGAGTGTTACAATATAATTTGTAAATGCTTTGTAAGGCATAGATAGTCCTCACTTTAGATGAGCTCACACAAAGTACTTATTAACAACTAGTAAATGCTTTGTAAATACCTAATTAATCATGAAATACTTTATTAACAAATGTTTAGAGAATATCTATTGCCTTTAAATTTCATTGGTAAATTGTTAATGAGTCATAGTCATAGATCTTTAGATGAGCTCATGCAAAATACTTTACTAACCATTAGTAACTACCAGAATTAATCATGAATTGCAGTATTATTAAGTGTCATAAAACATCTATGAACACGCACTGTTCTTTTTCTTACACTTTCCAAATGATCTTATTAACCATTAACAACTCATATATAAATGGTTTGTCATTAAAATAATACTTAATTTATAAATAGTGAACCGATCATGTATAAAGTATGATAGATGAGCCTATTAATAAAGAATTAAACATTTATAACTGTGTTTATGAATGACTTACTAATGTGTATTAATGTATGAATAATGCTTTATAAATGATGAATTCCTTATTTACTAATGCTTTATAGTGTGTAGTTATTATAAAGTGCTACCCTCCAATGTAGTAGTTCTACTCTCTGATAATATTATGTATCAAATACTTCTAACTGAGCAGAAACGTAATGTCAGTTCTGTTTGTATAACATGGCAAAAAACTGTTTTGGTATAACAGATTTTAAAATATGCTCACATATTGTGAACATGACCTTTTCTGCAATTTATACTGAGCTCGAAGGTTAATTCTTAACATTGAAAACAGCAGTTTGGTTTATTAAAAAAAATTATCTGAAAGTCCACTTATTTTTATGAAGCTTACAGCCACATCTGAGCTTTTATTTCACATGAAGAAAACTCCCTCCGATGACAAGAATTTTGTCAAGTATCTACGGATATTTCGATGGACACCATTTAAATTAGAGATAGAATTTGGCTTGTGTAAATATCTCACATACTATGTCCACGATCATTCACACACCTTGTAAAGTAGTGATGGAAAGTAAGTGAAGTGCATTCACTCAAGTACTGAACATTTTTGAAGTACTGTACATAAAAACATGATTGAAGCACTTTTACTTTACATCACCATTATCATTTCTTGCTAATTCATACTTCTACTCTTCTACTAGATTTGAGAGGGAAATATATACACATTATTGTATGTTTAATGCCTACTGCGTAACTGTCATTAGCCATGTCACAAAATTTTATGATATAATCCTTTTTGTATTTATAACATGGCATATATATGTAGTGTATGCCAAGCCGTACTCCCACCATAATAATGCACTGCCTCGGCATGTTAACTACTTGGGTGTGTCCTTTCCAGTCTGAAACGTGAGCTGGTCCGGCCACAAACTGGTTGCTATTCAAAGAACCAACATCCGTCAGTGTATGTGCATAGATGTAGACCCACATTTATAATTAATGTTGATCTTATGGATTTGCCCGGCCTTACAGCTTCATTACTGTCCAACTCTGTATGGTAATCAAAACCAGAAACAAGAGAGCTATAGGACAGGTTAGATCAAATTTCCAAGGTGTATAATCAAGATTATCATCAAGGGCCCACTGGATGACTTCGTTTAAATTCACAGCAAGTGCACAAGTACTTTATCACTATTGCTATAATCAATATAGAGTTCTTGCAATGCTGCAATCATCAGTGCAATAAAAGAGATAACTGAGAATAATTTTGAGTTAGCATTAAATGTGGTTGTTTCTTATTAGAATACGTGTTTAAGCGAATAAGCAAAGCTGTGTGGATCTCTGTAGTCAGCTGGATTGTTGTGGGTGGCTGGTGAAACCCAATCAGTCATCAAAGCTTTATACATCTCTCTTTATCTACACGACACTCGTCGGCCCTCTCAGGTTGCCAAGCGACCCAGTCTCAAAAAACCTTGCGATGTACCTGAAACTGGTTGGTGTTTGACTGATACGCTGCAACGACCAATGAGAGCAGAGGGCAGGACTTGGTCAAGGAAGTGACCAGGTAACAATGGAATATAAATGGGTTTTTTGGTGCGAGCGTATAAACTTTCCATAAATAAAAATATTTACAGAGTTCATTCATAGGAAGTTACAGATCCCAAGTAATTAATGCACGTTTCAAAACAATCCTTCCTGCTTTTTATATTTCTGTCTGCTAAGGTACTTGAGTTAATACCCAACTTTGACTGAAACAGCTAATTTTGAAGGAAGGTACATCGGTTATGAGAAAACAGGAACTTGTTTGAGGCACTGAGCTGCTGTAGCACAAAAATATAACACAAACATGTCAATATTGTGCGTGCGTGTGTGTGTGTGCATGTGCATTAGGGTTACAGGAGCCAGTCTACCAACACTGGCTGACAATGGACCTCTGGCTCAGGGAAAGAGACCCTCTGAAATATGCATGAGGAAATCTACACCTGTTTCCAGGTAACCAAGGCAGGGATTCTGAACCGTGACGCTGAATGTAGTCTGTGTGTATGTGTGTATGTACACCTGCCTGGGCGCATGCACAAACAGCACAGCTTCCTAGCTTTACCTGTTCAGACACTCTGTAGGGACGAAAGGAGCTGTCAACCCTGTTGGTTTGACGAGATAGACGTAATCTGACCAGGAGAAACGCTATGAAAGAGTGCGGGTCTCGGTGCTGAACCATACTGAGCTACTGAGAACTGTACGCATGGAAAAAGGTCAAACTTGGACCAACTGAGACAAGCTGAAGCTGGAAGTGGAGACTTGGTGGAGGGTGGACCACAGAGGCATAAAGCGGTCTTCACAGGTTTCGCCCTGAGGGTTGAGTAGCTATTTGAGCAAGTATGAATCCAATGTGGAAGGTATATAAGAGCAAAGTGCTGAAGACCATTAACCCTGAGTATGAGGAGGACACTGCTGAAGAGGTACATCATTTTCAACTTTCTCCATCTTTGTTACTCTCACTGATTGATATGTGTGTATTAAAGTGTCAGAAAGGTGATGTGGTTGTTGGCATTGAAGTCAGAAAGTCACCAGGTTGTGTTTCCTGATCATTTTTTATTCATCACAGGGTCAGACGAGCTGTTTTGTTTTTTGTGCAAAGGGAAATTTAAGGCAAAAGTTATGCCTACGCAATACTTCCACTTGTGTATTTATGCAATTTTGACAGAATATTGGCATGCGGATATTCTGTGAAATTTTCTATTTCCACTGTCAAAGATGAAATCCAGTATCAGATCACAGCACCAATAAAGCACCTTGTAGCTGAAGCACTGTACATCAAGCCAACATTACAAGCCGTGATCAATGTTTTCATCAGTGGTGGAAAGTTACCAAGTACTAAAAAGTACTACATTACCTGAGTAAAGATTTTGAGATACTTTATGTGACTTCATACTTCTGGTCCGTTGCATTTTCAGAGGAAATATTGTACCTTTCCCTCCATTACTTTTAGTTACTTTTCAGATTACTATTTTATGAGGATAAGCTAAAACAAGTGCATTGTTAAAGATTAAATCAGTGGTTTCCAGTCTATTTGGCTGGTGACCCCTTCCAGACATTTCCTTGTAACTTCTCAGATGGTTTCATTTGAATAAATGTTCAAGGTAAAAGTGTGCAATATTTCACCTCAAAAGGCAAAAATTTTAGAAAAATCCAATAAAGTACCTAATAGACATTTGTATAGCAGAGTTTTGTTGTTTATTCTTTCCTGCACCATTCATCAACTCACGACCCCTCAGGTGCATCCTGCAGCCCTTTGAAGGGGTTCCAGCCCTGGATTAAACTATCAAGCTGTATTAGGTAATTAAAACTAGCTCCATCTCCACCAGCTATATCACTAAAATGCTACTTACACACTATTACATCAGTAAGAGTAGGCCTAATTTAAACATAGGACCTTAGGTTGTAATGGAGTATTTTGCAATGTTGTACTGGTACTTGGTTTCTGACAACTTCTTTCTCCACTGGTTTTAATGGCCTCATTGTGACAACTGTGACTCCATCCAAGGTTTGATACCAAAGAAACACACATAGTGTTATGTTGACCCAGATCTCTGGAGGGCCTAGAAACTCGATCTTGCACGCGAGCTGGACAAACGGATTAGTTGGCATTCCACTGACTGACTGACAGGGGGGGATGAGACCGATAGCCGGGGCATAGGGGTGTGCCAGGGCATCTACCACAGGGAATAATGTGTGTGTTTCAAGAGATAGTTTCCATTTAGATGTACTACATGCAGAGTTGTCATCGCTGCTGTTTGAGTAGAAATTGCTCCACACATTCTCGAGAAATAGGAGACTGTCGTGGAAATGATATTCCTGGTGAGGGATTAAGCAAATAATTGAGTAACAACCAACGTCTTTGAAGAATTTATTTAACAAAAGAGAACAAACAGAGAAGTACTTAAGCACATATACAGCTGGTCCAGAGCAAAGGGATGGATCATCATTTACACATTGTAGGTTTCTATGTTTTGGTGAACAGAGATCCTCTCTCAGCCTTGAATGAACATTCCAGGAGAGAAACAACAAGAGAGGAAAACACCAAAACAATCCCACAGCTCTGACCTAAACCCTAGTAAATATAAGGAGTATAGGAGAGGAAAAGGTTAAGGGAAAAAAAACACAATACATATATCTATAAGCCATAACGAGAATAGTAATAGTAATAATAATAATAATAGTAAAAGATCATACATGAAAGATTACATGTAAGAGGACACAATGTTCTGCCATAACAGAGACAACTAAAGTGTAGGCTATTACCATAAACACGTGTCTAAAAGTACACTGACTTTTCACTATTCAAGTATATTCCTGGCATAAACCAAAAACAAATTATGTAAATGCAAAGATGTTAAATGCAAACATATGTTTGTTTTCCATCTTCTTGATGAACATTTCTTGATTCAGATGCTTTAAGATCTTCTCCTGGGTTTTCTCCAGGTTGTAGCAGCCACAGTGTGCACTAGATGGCGACTAATGTACACAAATTCTGTGCAAGTTTGTTAACATCAGAAAGTAGCCAATGTTGTAAATATATTCAGCTCATTGCTGTGTGGACTGATAAGGTACATCCATTTTGTCTTTTTTTTCAGGTCACAGAGGTGGAGAATGATGTGATGAGTCCAGTGCAGGAGGATGAGGGACCCAACACTGTATCCCAGTTGGCCAAGAAAGTATGTGAACATTGACAGCTCTTACTTAATCTTTGGACCATTTCATATTCCAAGACAAATGCTTGTTTTAATGTGGTCGTGTAACTATTAACTATACCCCACAGCTTCAGTGTTGTATCAGTAATGAGAACTGTCATAATGGTGGTTGTAAAATCATTTAAAAAAGGCTTCCTCTATAAGTATGAGAGAGGACCGGAGCATTGTTCAGCTGATCCTCTGAAAACACCTAAATATATACCTGCTTTGGCCTTTGACCCTATGTGTGTGGTTGGTTGTGAGTCCAGATGCAGGGGGCCGGGACTAAAAGCTGGAACAGGCTATCAGCTCTCTTCAACAAAGACGATGAACACCAGCTTCTAGAGGAAACCGAGAGTGCGCCAGTTGCCGACCAGTGAGTGGAAGTCTTTGTCTTTTGTTAACATCTGTCGTCTTTATTCCTGGTCGAATGTCATTCTAGCACCTTGTACCATCTGTGGGGTTTGAGGGTAAAGGGGCTGATTTGTGAACTATATGGAATTTTTTTTCCAGTTTTTGTGTGTGATATTTATTCAAATCACAAAGTCATGAAATTCTGTCTGTGTCTGTTTATCAAATTGGAGTTTTAATTATAAAACACTTAAAAGATGCCCACATACTGTTGTAAAATAAGTTGTACAGCAGCAGGATTAGCAAATGCAAAAAAGGAAGTCTGATCAAAATATACCTGAAACAATATATTGCAAGACTTAAGCTTTGATTTAGGGTAAGTCTGGGCACACTTTGGTTGAAAAGTCTTTACTATACATGACTATTTCTAAAGTAGTTGTGGTAGAAATTTTTGCTGTTTTGCTTTCCTGCCAGCTGGTCAGCAGCTTAGCTTAGCATAAAGACTGGAAACAGGGGAAACCAGTAAGCCTGGCTCTGTCCAAAGGTAACAAACTAACATCACTAATTAACACTTTTTATCTCTCTAAATCAAACTTTACAAATTGATAGGTTGTAGTTTAGAAGAGCTGGTAGGAGAATTTTGTTGCATTTAGACAGAGGCAGGTTAGCTGTTTCCCCCTGTTTCCAGTCTTTATGCTAAGCTAAGCTGCTGACCAGCTGCTGACTGGAGTTTATATTTAGTGGAGTTTATATTTAGAGTGATATTGATCTTCTCATCTAACTAACTACACATTAAAATAGTAATTGTAATGCTGTTAGAAACAAGAATTATATGTAACCCAGAAATCTAAAGATGTTTAACTTTAGAAATGTCAAATTTAGTCCAGTTTCAATACTCGATGGTAGATGGTACTAGGATTGCTTTGAATGCTTAGTATTCAACTGGGCTGCTAGTAATACTGTCTCTTCTCGCCTCACACTTTTTCACTGCAGTCAAACTTTATTTTTAACCAGTTTGTCCACCAACTTATCTTTATTGTTTCTTTCTTCAGAGCAGATCTGTTTGATTTAAACTGCAACCTACAATAAACTTACCATCAGTAGCTTAATATCAGTCAGTATAACTAATGAGCAGAGCACTAGAATTAAAATCTAAAATCAGAAGACCTAACAGTTAGTTGACAATGGTGAATTCCAAGCCAAAGCACCCACCTATACTTGACTGACTCCTAAAGTTAACCGCACTATTTTCTCAGTCCACTTGCAGTGAAACCGGAGGAGCCGCCTCCTCGACCAAGTAAGCGTTCAGCATTCTGGGATAACTTTGCGGCCAACTGGGCTGCCAAGAAGCAGGCGGAAGCTGCAGCAAACGAGGTGGCAGCAGAGCAGGGTGAGGCGGGGGTGACAGAGGCCGGAGGGGAGGAGAGCCAGGATGGGCAGATCACTCAGGGAGAGGAGAGTGAAGGAGGAGGAGGACGGAGCAGCAACAACAGCTTTTCCAAATACGTCTCGATGGGAGGAGGGAGCGAGGACACATCCTTCAAGTGGAACTTTGTCACCAGCAAGCTGGCAGAGCTGAAGACCAAGAGTAACTAGCTTTTCATGATGGAAGGAATCTGGAGAATATAAACAATATGATGAAGGGGCTAGACTGTAGGAGTGTGGAGGAAGTTTAGGAGGAGGGCCTATTTTACACAGGATGTCCTGTAACTAAACTGCAACAGCTATTATAGAAGTCCCTTTTTTTTTATCACATTCTGAACTATTGAACTCTCCCATAAATGTCACATCACAATGAACGTATAAAGGTACAATAAACCAGTGTTTTCCCCCTTTACTTTCCCATGATCCTATAGACCCAAATATAAATGTCCCTGTCTGTGCATCTAGAGACACAAAGTTAGGGCCTGGACCAAAGATTGACATACTCTTGAATATATTACCGCTAGTGTACTATTACAGATTACAAATACAAATTCTTTATTATTACTTGGAGATGAGGTTGGTGTACTATGCATATCTGCCTACAGAGCTAATAGCTAACAAGAGCTCTAGATGTTAGACGTGAATACAACAGATGTATTACTCAATCCAGTTTGGAACCTGATATGTAGGCTACACAATTCAGTCTACCATCTAGGGGTTATATGATGATATCTAGTTTCCCAATGTGCTTTTTAAACCACAAAAAGGGGCCTTCACACCTGTCAGCAAACTTGATTCAATCTGTAGTTTAGCAAAAACTGGATTAAGAGATTAAAGGCAGTGATAGCTGGATTAGTTGAGGATTATCTCACTTAACCTGTTCAGAGGGCAGGGGATTTCAGTCAGGAGATTTGGCAGTGCGACATAACTATTACAAATGTTTATAAACCGCTTCCTCTGTTGTGCACAATGATATAAAATGTGTAAAATATGAATGTGTGTGTGGTGAGATAACGTCAGGTGCGCTGACATGATGACTTAACTGAGACTTACATGTGCAAAGTGTGAGCTTTTGAACATTCCTAATTTTGTGAATCAACGAAACGAGGCTTTGAATATCATTTTATCTCAGACTTTGGTTTTGATCTTGTCGTATGTTTTATTTTGTTGTTTTGTTTTCTGGTATGATACAATAAAGGCTGCTGCACTAAATGGTCTGACAACGCATGAGTGAGCCACTTCTATTCAAATGCTTTTTAACAAGAAAGACCAAGACAGTTTATTGCACCTACAATAATAAATGTAGTGGTAAGTCTTTACACAAGGGTGTTGCAGTTCTAATAGAAGCAAGGCAAGTTTATTTGTATAGCACATTTCAACAACAAGGCAATTCAAAGTGCTTTACATTAAACATAAAAGCAACATAGGGAAATTGAAAAAATACACATTAAAATATAATTTTGGTGAAATAGAAAATAAAAACAGGATTAAAATAATAATAATAATAATAAGCAGGGTAAAACAGGACAGTAAAAGTTACAGTGCAGTGTATAATCAGGGTTAAAAGAGTTAAATGGAAAATAAAAACAGGCTGAGGGGTTGAGCAAATAATTGAGTTACAATTATTTTGAAAAGAGAATAAACAGAGAAACAATAGAGGATAAGTGAGATGCACCTAACACACTTTGCAGCTTTAGTCTGTAATTAACATATGCAAAGCAGACAAGCTGAAATTAAATAATTAGTATTTGAAATTATCATGTGTGGTGTGGCAATATAGAAGGAGTCAGGGGTGTAGGGAATGTATGGATGAATTAAAATATGCATACGTAAGTGTTGTTACATTATGTAAACCTAAATTAAACTACACAGATGAAGAGGCCATCAGGCTATGTTAAGGCTGCCCACAAAGCGAGGGCTCTACGTGGGAGAGCAGACCTTTTGTGCCTTTTACCACTCCCCTCTTTCAGGTGCAGCTAGTTGCATTGAAAACCTACCCAGGCTTTTGCAAGAACAACAGCAGAGCACCACAGGAAGCCAGACACGTGGGCTGTGACAAGGGAGGTGCTCAAACGTCAGGGTGTAGTAAAACCATGTTCACTTAATTAGTGTTTTAAGAAAAAGATCTGCTGTGACTGCTCATGTATGGACTTTTCTGTGCTACAAATAGTCTCAGTCGCGCTACAGTATAATCAGTGATCTCTAGCAAAAAACACTGATGTAGGTACTGCATTTCAGAGGTTCAAATGTTTGCTTTGCTTCTTGACATTTAGCATGTAGAATTTCAAAAACATAGAAGAGTTTGTCCTTGAAAGCGGAACTATTTGAAAGGCCTTTAATTGCTTTTCATGAATCACGAACAGCATGGGTAGAGAACAGTGTCACACAGACAATTATTTATTTTTGTATTATTCTTTCCCCAACGAGGGGACATCTCGGGTAATAAAAAAAACAAAAATCGAATAACATCAGAAAAATACACAGGGCCATATGTTACCCCATGCTGGTCTTTGTTATTTCCAGTATTCTTCTGTTTTTGTCTGTTGTGTAATTTGGCTCTTAAGTCCAGAATTTAAATTGTGACTAAATCCACACAAATTCCACAGCATGGTTTAATCCGTTCCTCTAACCAGCAGGGGGCTCCCTTTGCCTTTTGACTGTAAAACGTCTGTCCCCTCTCTTCCTCTGCCTTGTTTTGCTGCCCATCCTCTTTATCACATATACACACTAAAGCCATCACATATAATAGAGCCAGGAATTGGGTCATATTCCCTTTCAATAATACTTAAATGTTCCTCTCTGATCTCTATTTTTCTCCTCTTTTGTTTCCTGTTTTTTCCCTGATTTACACCCATTTCCTCTCATACTGTGCCAAGTTTACTCATATACAATACAGTTTCCTTTTTAATTTAGAGGCCTTTGTTGACATTTCCATTTGAAATTGACTGTACACTCTGATTTAAAAAAAAGCAAATGCACCCAAAGCTCAAGTTCAAACTTTTTTTAGCTGACCAGCCTCTATTATTTCCATGTGTTTCCACTGTCAGTCAGATTTCAGGCTGTCATCGTGGATCTTGTGAAAGTCGGTGAGTCTCAGTAGTTTTGTACAAACTTCCACAGTTGTCAGCCTTAGTTTGAGTCAAAGCAAGATCTTTCCCCACTCACAACTAAGCGACATGTTCATCTTTGTGGACATATAAAAAAAGCTTGGGAGAGAAATTTATTCCCCAAAAGCTTAAATGTATTCCTCAAAAAGGGTCATGAGAGTGGCTTGTTTGGGTGAAATCTGACAAATGCTTATGACTATTTGATGCTTGTGTGCAGTGCTGAGGTCTATATTGCAGTTTTATGACACCAAGTGAGGAAATGGGGTTTGTAGAGCATGAAAGCATCCTAAACTTGAGTTTTATGATTTGTAGTTTACAGAGAGACAAAACTGGATGGACGAGCAGTCTGTCATGTTTTAGGTTGCTTTAAAATTGTGTCTTATGGGGCTTCTTTTTATCATCATAGGCATTCATAAGCAGAAATAAAACAAAAATAAAGTACTCTCAGCAGTTTTTCAGATACTTATACTGTGTTTTTGTAGTAAAATCTAATGTCATTAATTCTATACCTTTAAGAAAATGTAAGTATTGTACCCAACTATGTTTGGACAGGAAAAAATTAAAGCAGCATTAGCCTAATTGAGTTTCTGGCTTCTTGGGGGTAGCAGAAGATGTAAACAAAACACTAACATATTACCACTTTAAGTTGAGTGCCTACTTATACACAAAGCAGACATGGGGCAACATTATCATTATTTGTGAGTTGTGTTTCTGGCCACCTGACAAATGTAAGTTCAAAATTTACATATATTTTAGCTCTGTTTTGGTCTCTATGAGCTCTTGAGCAAGAATATCTATAAAATGTTACTAGTTGTATAAAGTATTTTGTGGTTCCACAGGGAGCTGTGTGAAGACTAATTAAAGGTTGAAGACTACATGTTTCAAAAGTAAAAATGGTATGATCTTTGAAGAGGTGAGCTCACCCTCTGCTAACATACCCCAAAATTCCAACTAGTTAACCGGTTTGCGTTTGAGTTGCATTTTGGTAGGTGTAGGAGCTGTGTACGAAAAAAAGACATCTGGGTTTTTTTGACAATCCATTGCGAGTCCACCAATGTTACTGGAGTACAATGCTAAATTGTATTAGCCTACTCTTACTCTACTTTAAAGATGTTGAAATGTTCCATAGAGCTGAGGAGAACTGTAGAGTAGGATGATATTTCTCTGTGGGTTTATCACCACATTACAGTCATTTGATCCCTTGGTTAATCTGAAAATATCTGCTCATAAGTTATTCTGTTGTGGCAAAATTACAAAGATAATCAAGTGGGTTCCCAAGTTGCAATAAATGCAACAACTTTCTGGATGGAACATTCATATTTTATGGTTTTGGTCAGATGCCTAATAACTTTTAGCTGTTTCACAATTCACATTGAGCACATTGTTACACAGAGTAGTCTTCAAAGAGCTTCTCCAGTATCTTTAAAATCCCCTAAGAGGACCAAAGTGGGATTATAGCCAGCATTTATTTTGTGTTGTGTGTGTCTCCTTCTTAAAGGCCTACACCCCTACAGAGGTTTTACCCAATCTGCCTGATCAGACCTCATCTCTGGACTGTGTGAAGCTGGGCTTGATTGGGATCTCCACCAGGCGAACTTTACTCGCATGGAGCATGGAGTTCCTGCTGGGCTAGCATGGCTAGCGGGCTAACAACAACAGCCCACAAAGTTGTGAATTATACAGCATTTTATCAAACATTTTACTGTTTTAACCTCTGTCACTTTTGTCGTACTCATACAGCATAACAACATCATTCCTTCTCCACTGCTTGTTTTCTTGCTAGCATAAACAAACAATATTTCCTGAATGAGAGGTCAATCCCACCCCTTCTCTCCAACTGGCTGGACATTGGAGAGCCTTGTGATTGGACGTGTCAAAGTTAAATAGATTGAACTGAAAGAGGCAGGTCAATTTGCTACCAGAAGCAAATGTGTCTTATGAAAATGCATGCAAATGCAAAGGTTTATTTGCACATTAAGAAAATATAAAATGCAATTAAAATATCCATCCATCCATCCATCCATCGTCAACCGCTTACAGGGTCGCGGGGGGCTGGAGCCAATCCCAGCTGACATCAGGCAAAAGGCGGGGTTCACTCTGGACAGGTCGCCAGTCCATCTGAAAGCAACACAGAATGCCTGAGAGCTGCACTGACCTATATTAATATATTTTGAAATGTTACTTGCCACCTGAATTTTGTGTTTCCTTTTACATAAACAAAAACATTTCCACCATAAGTTCCTGCAGAAACATTCACCAGAATGCAGGAAATGAAGTGTTTAATGATAAAAATTTCCTAGGGGAGGTCCCCCCCCGACCTCGGCTCATATAGTTCAGCATTGAGGATATATTTAAAAAACTGTTTAAGTATCTTTTCATCTTGTTCTCGTGAACCTAATATCATGTATCGTGATGTCTCACACGCTAAGCGTCTCTTCACACCCCTAATCTGAGCCCTGTGTCCCCACCAATTTTCAACACAAAGTGACACCCTTGCCCAACATACACAAATATTAGGATCAAGTTAAGGATTCAATGACATTTGGATGTGTTAGGAGGAGCTGGGGTTCGATCAACTTTTTCCACTCCTGATTAGAACAAAAGTCTGAAATTCTTTCATGTACATATGCTCACACGCTGCCCCCAAAATGTGTAACTCTTTTATTATCTGTAGTCTCTACAAACACTGCACCCTTTCTCTCTCTCCCTGTGGCCTTTGCCATTTGGTTCACTTTTGGCTCACAGTATAGTGCAAACATTTCCCCACCCCCCTCCCACACAGAAAACATCATTCAGTACTTTCTTTTTTTTTCTGCTGATGAAACAACGATGACTAAACTGCTTCACACCTTGCCCTGAGCTCTGTTCCACACACTGTAATTACTTCAAACAAAAGCAGCCCACAATGTTGTGCGAGTATGCTTTAATTGTTGCACATAACCCACAATGCGTTTCCTTCTCTCTGCTGACTCATCTGGACAGGAGGTGGTTAAAGAAGATAAGATGTTAAATCTGTTGATATACATGATTGGGTTTTTTTGTGGTGG